AAGCCAAAGGAATGGCTGTTATTTAGCTTGGAAAAGAAAATTGTAAGAGGTGGCTTAATGATGAAGTGTATGAAACATTTGTCTAGAGAAAGCAGTTTCTACCTGAGCTCTCACTTCACCTCATTTTGGATTCCTTTAGCAAAAAGATTTATTGTCTCACTGTCTCCCGGTACCATAAAACACACACGCACACACACATCCCTCATGAGAGGCTCACTGGTAGACTAAAATATGGACCATTTGCCTCAAATGAATTCTCTTACACTTGGGCAATTTATCTTTTCTATAACAAAATGTGATTTAAATCTTTTCTGTAAAGCTTTCCTAGACAAAGCTTTGTCGACTGATTTTTCTCCAGCACTCCCCATGTGTAAATCTCATGTATGGATCTCTCCATGTTTTCCTCATGGGCCTCTAAATAGACTACTTATTTTTTATACAGTATTGATAGTATATACAATAATGATGTGTATGTAGATAGTACATAGTATTATTATTTGTGTATTAAATTCTTCAAGGAATTATTCCTCTGCACTGCTCTTCCTTTAGTGTTGCTTTGAACTTATCACTTCAGAAAGCTTCCCTGTCTATTCTTTACCTCCCATAGCATCTTTCTTAGAACTTAGCTCAGGTGTAATTTTACGTATATTACTGGGATCTATTAGTCAAGTAATTTGAGCAGACAGTTCAGGCATATATACTACTTGACTAACAGTTGGGTTAGGTGGCAAACAAACGAGTATCTATATTAGCTATATATGAAAAGACTGAGATTTATGAATATTTTTGGAATTTAGTTGTGTGGAACTATAAAGAGTACCCATGGCAAGAAGAATCCACAGTGGACATTAAAAATATACACTTGATTTTGGTTACTTAGTTACCCTGGCTGTGTACTGAAGGGTATCTGTGGGAATTTTGGAAAACAGAAGAAAATTATGTAATAGAATAAACTTTGAATCACATTTTTACATTTCAAAAAGAAGAGTGACATCCAAAATGATTTCTCTGGATTTTATTCTCATTTTTAGAGTTTAAAATACTTAAAGGAAATTGATTACTTAAGAAGATCTGTATATTGAGATTGGCAGGATAATTTATGGTCTGATTAGAATTGGGCTCAGAAGAGATTGTGAGCCTTGCATATTGGATGATTTTTATTTCCTTAATTTCCATTTCAGTGCTATACATCTTTCCTGGAGCATTGTAACTATGAATCATGGAGGAAAATTAAATTGATTCTGTATTCTCCAACCCTACAATTTGGCAGTAAGAATATTTTTTTCCTAAAAATGACTCATTTACAAAGAGACTTTCTGTGAACATGGAAAAGACTTTACTGTCAGAAGTCTTGCACATGGGGGCAGGGTGGATATTTAGATCTGCTAATAATTGCAAAATGGCAAAATTAATGTCAGTATTGATCAAAGATCATGTGAAAATGGTACTCCCACTGGAAAACATAGAAGCTTGTGTATTAAGAAAAATAAAAACTCCTTAAGCTCTATGGAAAGCTTATCATGTTTCCTGTTTCAGGGCATTTTTTCTTGTTTAAGTGTACCCTGCTATGAGTCAACCAGTGTTTAGTTTTTGCACCTCTTGGAAATTGTTCTGTGTTGTAATATTCCTCCCTATTAACCTTTATTTTCCTGATTTTTAGTCCAAAATTTATTTTTCTGAATTTCATCCAATTTCTTCTGGTAATTTTCCCTGGGATCCCCCAGCTTGGGTGTGGGTTGATTTTTCTTGCTAATCGTGCTTCCTCTAGCTTCTAAAATAATCTTAGAATTTCTTTATCCAACTAAGTTTTCAAGAATGCATCTCATTGTAAGTTAAAGAAAAAAAAACCAACATATCGACCTGGTTCTCATATTGTGGGAAGCATTTATTATTTCTGTATTGCAGTTCTTCCAAAGATAAAACAAACCTGGCCTTTGTAAAACACACTGAAGCCTTGTTCGCATGTTCACCATCAGATCTATATGAATGTTGAAAAAGGGTTAAATCAAAATGATGACACCTGGATCTGCCATTCCTTGTGTACTAATGGTGCCCATTAAGCCTACAGAATAACATTTTGCAGAAGTGTTCTCATGATTTTGTACAAAAGTCATTGAATCTGAAGAAGCAGAAAAAAAGAAACTTACATCTGAGTTCCTAGCATTTGCCAGGCATTTTCACCTGTGACTCCATTTTTTTTTTTTTTTTTTTCCCCAGAAGTTGAAGTGGGCCCTTTTATCCTGGTTTTTGGTAAGAAACTGAGGCTTAGCTAGGCAAAGTCACTTAGCCAGAATTCCGTAGAAAGTAAAGGGAGGAGAAAAATTCAGCCCAAGGTCTTCCAATTTTAAAATTCATTGTCTTTCCACTTTCTTGAATTGCCTCCCAGGATTTGGGGATTTGATCACTCTGCCTGAGGTCACATTATGAGTCAGAGGTGAGCTGGGAACACAGTTTGGGGCATCTCCACGTTGCTTTAATCTATTGAAATGCGATGTGTCCTCTCTAACAAATGGATCATATTAACTTCTTCGAGGAAGAGAACAGCTTTTGATTTTCTACAAAAGATTCGTTTTGTGAAAAAAGTAATAAAGCAGGTATGACATTTAGCTTAACTTTTGAAAAATTGTGAAAAAGAACAATTCATTACAGTGAACTTTGCAGATGACCAGTCATTTTGGTAAATAGCCAATCTCCATGGTAACTTTCTTTTGAGGAATTATATGAACATTCCTTTTCTTCGGGCACTCCATATTCTAAATAAAAGTAGCCTCGCAAAATGGGCTTTAAAAAAATCTTGTTAATTATTCTAGAATCATAAGATCTGATCTACCATGAAGCATTTTCTGATAGAGGGTATTCCCACTGGCTCTTTCAACTTACTAGCTATGTATCTTTGGGCACATTACTTAATCTTCTGTCTTAGTTTCCTCATCTGAAAATAGGGATAATGTAGACCCTACATTAAAGGGTGGTTGTGAGGGTTAAGTGAATTAATATATGTGAGGTACTTAGACTGGAACATGACAAATACTGTATAAATTATTGCTATTATTGTTTCTCCCAATTACAACAGCCTATTGTGTATCATGTCGGACTATCCAGAGAGTGCATACAGGGTTTTGAAGGACTTGGAGGCACCCTAAATGGTGGAAGTTATAAGTAATCTAACTCCGTTTGGGCATATGCTAGCAGTGACAGATTTGAAATTTAATTCCAGACCTATCTGATTGCAAAGTGGTTGAAGGAAAGACATTCAGTGGTAACTGGAGTGGTAGAGAAAAAAGCCTCAACAAACCGTGTAGATTGACTTTCCTCTTTCTTCCGACTGATCTTGAGAACAGGAAGCACAGGGCATTACTAAAAGCTTCAGTTTGCTCCTGGTAGCAGCACGAACATAATCTGGTTCCTTGGGGAAAGAGATTTTTTACACTTAGTGCAGTGTGGATGACTCGAAGGTAAATTCGTCCGAAGTGTGGTTAACAAAAAATTGCCGAATGCTCTGTTCAATACTGGAAATACAGAAATGAATTGGACCAGGTTTCTCATATCAAGGGGCACATAATCCCAGGACACAGAGACAGTGGCTGCCCAGAGACATATGTTGGGTTTGAATACTGCAGATCGTTTTGTATGGAGTATGGAGAGATTCGTTTTGAGACTCATTCACTGACGAAATAAAATGTTAAAGGTTTGGGCACGGACTCAGGAGAAGAATTTGTGTGAGAAATCCTAGTGTATCCTAGTGATACACTCTGTGAAGAACTGAATGGGGTATGAAGGAAAGGATCATGGTTGGCGCTAGAAATTATATAGTCTATCATTTGGAGAGTAACTGGGAACATTTTACAGAATAAGAAATACAAGTGCGTGTAAAAGGATAAAAACAGTAATTTAGGAGTGCTGTTGCTGAGACAACCATTATTGTTATTGGTATTATTAGAGCTAGTAAAGAATAGTAAAAGGAATATTTAAAAATGGGAGTGGGAAAGCAGGGAGTCATGCTGTCTCTAAAATGACAGCTAGAAATGTGCTGACAAGTGAGTGGGTGCATACAAAAACCAGCCATAAATAGCCACATGGAAATGAAGCTTTTGGATTTAACAATGAAGATGTAATTGGAAACACTAATGAGATCTGTTTTAATACGGCTGACAACAGAAAGCCATATTCAAACAGTAAGATCTGAGAGAGATGGAATCTAAATAAGAGAAATGTAGTTGCAGGTGCCAGGTGGACCAAGTCAACTTGACATTGACCCAGAGAAACCTAGACAAATGTTCTGGGCCTGCAAGTTTGTTTGGGAGTTTAATTGCCATATGCTGAATGAAGAATGAATAGTTTGCCTTGTCTGAAGAAGTTGTGCTGTAGTACCAAAGGGCCACTGTCTGGGGGGACATGTAAGAAGCAGTGGAGTTGAAAGGGACCCTCGCCTCAGCAGACAGCTCAGCCTTGGGAGGTGGGGGAGACATGTCACAGCTGTGCTCATGGGGTTAACAGCAGCAGCTTTCTAAAATGAGCAATCCAAAAGGCTGTTACAGACTGACCCTGAAGAATAACATTTATCAAGTTCTGATTTATTCCAGAGATTAACTCCAATGACCATTAATTAGGTAGTTTAAAAATGTATTAGTGTAATCCTCTAATCTTACATGTTTTTCTCTTGAATATGTTGAATATGTTTCTATGTTGAATATGTGCAAAACATTTTTTTTAGGAGCTTTGAACATTGGCTCTGTATTTGCATCCCAGAGCCTTCCATGTCATTGAAACATATCTGGATATTTTTATTAATCTAGAGATATTTAAGACCTTTTCCCTAAAGACTGAAGGATATTAATTCCACATTCAGCATTTGAAACTTTGTTATTTTTGTTTCTTAAACAGTCACCCAGTGAACTCTTAAGTGTAAGACACTCAAGAAAAGAGTGAATCCTGAAATGGGGGACTGCTCTTTTTGAGTATGTTGAAATACTAATTATTTTGTGTTTACTTTTCTTTAGGGATATCAGGGAATTGCAGGATCACCAGGTGTCCCAGGATCCCCAGGAATACAAGTATGTGATTCATAGGTACACACTGAAGAATTAAACATTTCCAGTGAACCAAAAAACATAATTAACAGAATTTATTCTGTGCTTGGTTTAGGGAGTCCGAGGACTACCAGGTTACAAAGGAGAACCAGGGAGAGATGGTGAAAAGGTAAATGCATGCAAACAAAAATGTGTCCAGTTGCTTTGGTTCATTCAAGAACACCAAGGATGTTACCTATGGTGGCTCCCATTCAGTAGTGTTCACCTTGGGGAATCCCAAGATTTGTGGGCTTGGAAATTGGTCAGTGGTCACTGGCTAATAAAGCCCACAGAAGGGCTTTTATCACTAGATGAAATTGGTTGTCACTGGATGACCACCGTGACATGGAACAGATAATTGACATTGCTATGATGCCATTTTTCTCTCCCTGTGGTTAAGCTCTGAGGGGGGTTACCTTCTTAGAGGGGCGAGAACTATGTGGATGGAGTCATGTCCTCCGTAATAGATGCCAATCTGGCAGACGGTCTATTGGCTTAGTCTTACTGGACTTCCTCTTTAGGGCTTCAGTGGGTACATTTGTACTGCTGACTCTCCTTTTTTACAGCTCTGAGATTTGGCAAGCTTCCTTTTGAAGTACATGTTCTTTAAGTATGTTCAATATGTTGGTACCTCCCCATGGATCCGGATCGGTCGAGGCCTACTGGCCCTGGTAGCTGGTCCACGTCCAAGATGCCCATTTGTGTTTGCTCAGATCCCGTATTGATTTGTTAGCTTAAAGCACAATTGTATTTCTAAGGTCTGTGAAGGCGATCTGGTGTTTGCTCCTGATAAAAACCTGTACTAATTTTCTAACTACAATCCTTGCAAAGTATTACCTTTTTAAAGTAGTGTGCACAGCGTTCACATCTGAGAAATTCTGATCCTAACCTGTATCCATTTTATGCTTTTATGGTTGCCCATGTTGGTTGCAGAAAATTGTAGCTACTAAAGTACCATCTCTGGATGGATGGATCTCTGGCAGATCTAATGATGCATCGGTCACTTTCAAGCTATTTGGTCTTGGGCATGTTACTTAATGTCTTTGAGTCTTATATTTTTCATTGGCACAATGGTGATTCCTTCATAGGTTTCTTGTGAAGATTAAATGAGATAATGTGTGAAAAATATTTAGCATCGTTCCTGGTACAGGGTCTTTCTTAAATGGTGGTGGTTTTGTTCTGTTTTGTTCACGTACCATGGCTGCAGTTGGGATGTAGCATGGGGTGGGCTGCCATATGTCATGGGCACAACGGGGGTTGAAGCAGCCACTGAATTGGAAATTTAGTGATCAGAAAAGAAGCAGAAAAGATGACTAGGTCAGGGCAGCTTTATAATGTGGGAAGAATTAAAGGACATAAAGCAACTGCTGCCGTCGATATAATTCCTGAAGAATAGCATAAACTCCTCTTGCCTACTGCGTGACCTTTATGAGTCTTTTTAGCCGTGGAGAAATCTGCCTATTTTAAATGATGGGGATACATCTTGAGAGGTGATAGGGAGCATGCCGCACCTGCAGGAACGGCAGACGTCTTATATTTTCATGCTGTGGGGTTGTTGAGAGAGATTGCCTGACCTCTGCCAGGTGCACTGGGGAGTTCACTGGGAGCATGAGGTTATCTGTCCTGAGGAGACCATGTGCCAGACACCTCACCTACATTCTAGTCTACAGGATCACTGCTCTTTCCTTTCTTTCCTTTCTTCCCTTTCTTTCTCTTTCAAAGATTTTACTGGAGAGAGAGAGAGAGGAGAGCATGAGCAGGGGGAAGAGGGAGAGGGAGGAGCAGGCTCCCCACTGAGCAGGGAGCGTGATGCGGGACTCCATCCCAGGACCCTGGGATCATGACCTGAGCCAAAAGCAGACGCTTAACCAATGGAGCCACCCAGGCACCCCGGATCACTGCTGTTTCTTTAACATTCTGACAATTAGCCTGATTTGAGGATGACAGGGATTTATTAAAAGTATGCATATATGAATGAATGTATCTATCAATGGATAAATGAATAAATTTATCTATTTTTCCCTTTTACTTGGGTTTTAGAGACCAGATATAAAAAGGAGGGTTTTTATTCCTCTTAAAAAGATTTGGAGTAAAGTGTCTATTTGAAAATAAAGGAATAACAACAATTTGATTAGTCGCAGCTTTAACTGCACTGTTGTTTGGGGTCATTGTACTCTCTTCACAATAGAAGTGCATGAATTTTATGAAGTCATACATTTTGTTGAATAAAATAAGATGTATGTTTATGTGAAGTTCTCTGTTTTCAGTCCAGTAATAGTTACACTCAGAGTTGCTTGTTTTCTGAAATTTGTTGTTGGGGCACAAAGTCTGACCTGACACAGTCACTTTGCGCCCGAAACCACCACGTGCTGTGCCATCTACATTTCCTCCTCACATTCCGTGTGGCTTTAGAGTGTTCCTTACCTAGAGTTGCAGTAATTGAATAAGTTACAGACGTTTCCTCGATTCTTCCTCTAGAATATAGTTCCTTAATTTTCAGAAATGGGAAGGTTGAAAAATAGACCCCTGAGGTGACTTTGACTTGGGGCAGCACAGGACATTTTCCCAGGCGTCACACAGTGGCTTCTCAGAGATGGTTCCATACAACGCTGTCCTCCATTAGGATCTTTTCCCAGAATCATTTCCATTTTGTGGATTTCTTCTGAAAACTCCCATTGTAGGAGTTTCCACTTAAGATAATTAAAACTACATGCACTTTCTTGCTGACTTCAACATTTGTTCCTACCTATCAGACCATAGAATGTGTATAGATTTCGCAGGGTTTTTTTCTTTTTCCCTCCTTAATTTACAAAATTAAAAAGGAGCACTTATTCACCAAATGGTCTTCAGTTGGTAACTCATTTTATAATATGCTTTAAAGCTATTTGGAATTCAAGAAAAAGTACTTCAAAACACTTCTTCAACTTTAAGGAAACCCGTATATTTAAATCATTGGGGAAATATATTTTGTTAAAACTTACATTAGGCTGAGTTGATTAACTGGCACATATATATGGGTTTTTGAGTTGATTATGAAACTTTTTTTATAGCAAACTCAATTCTGAACACATGGGAGGTAGTAACTATTTTTTTTTAGACTTTGTACAAATTCATCACTTGGTTTTTCTGGGGTTAAGAAATAAAATATGCTAATTATATCCAAGGTCTCATTATGGAGCAAATTATACATTTTGTTTAATTTCCTCATTAGATCAATTAACATTTAAATTGTCACTTCAAGACCTCAGTTTCCCATTGTCCTTAACATTCATACAAGAGTATGATGTGATGAATAAAGATTTACTTTCATTATTGCACTTCTAAAGTCAAAAGATTAAGTGGTATTACAGTGATTTATATAGTCAGTTATAATTAGGGAACTCCAGTATACATGTTGAGAGAACAGTAATAAAGGACCAAGCTAAAAGGGTTATTAGGGAATATGCTAAAACTTAGGATGTTGGTAGTTTTACTTCTGTAATGTCTGAAGACAAAAAAAAAAAAATTACAAAAAATTAAAGCCAAGAATGATATGGGAGGGAGAAATAGTTAGAATTGGCTTAGTAAAGTGACCACGTTTATTTTCTTTCTCAAAAAGGGAGGGTAATCTACCTGTGTAGCTTCCTCATAACACCACAGCCCAAAGGCCCAAACACTGGTGTGTGTGTGTGGCTGGGGTTGGAGGGGGACAAGAAAAGGAGGCTTAATGAAGTTACAGGTTATTGGCTTGGCTTTGAATTCACCGTTTACTTTATCCTCTATCCATTCTCTAAATGTCAGATTGTTCCAGGGCTCAGTCCTGTGCCCTTCTTTTTCATCCTTAACAGAGTCTGTTTATTACATTATTAAATATAAACTTACATGAATATAAATTTATGTGTTACTTATATAAGTATACATATTGTTGATAAGCCTATTAATATACTGAGGGTTGCCTGGGTGGCTCAGTTGGTTAAGCGTCGGGCTCTTGGTTTCGGCTCAGGTCATGATCTCAGGGTCGTGAGATAGAGCCCCGCCTCTAGCCCCTTGTTGGCTTGGCTTCCTCTCAGCACAGAGTCTGCTTGGGATCCTTTCGCTCTGTCTCTCCCTCCACGTACGCTGGCTTGCACATGTGTGCGCACATGCTCGCTGTCTCTCTCGAATAAGTAGAAAAAATACATCTTTAAAAATATTAATATATTGATATAACCAATGTTATAGTTAATAAAAATATTAAATACATACACACGTATATATACATTCTGTTTTCTGATGAAGTATTTTGCTTCATCTGAATCTGAAGAAACTGTGGAATTGTTGTTAAAAGCAGGAATTTTCAGAACTTTTTCTACTTTTTATGGAAGGGGTGGTACCACATTTTCCTTCTTTCCTATATCCTTTTCTCAGAGGCTTTTCTTCCAAAGCAGCACTAATTGTGCCTTCCCTAAATAGTCACTGAAGCCAGGTTTTGTTAAGTGTCCCTTCTGTACATGGGGTGCTAACCTGTGTGTGCTCAGGTGTTGATTACTTCCGTGAATACGTTTATAATGTCTTGATCATTTTCTGATCTTTCAACTTCTTTTCTTTTAAGGCTCTATAATGGATTCAGTATCTCAGGTTATTGAAAAGAATCATTAATTCCATGTCCCGCCTCATTTGTTGGCTGCTATGCCATTTTCTGTCCTGTTTTCTTTTTCTCTACTGGCATCACTGGGAAACTTAAAACCTTCATTGAATTTTTATAGAGTGCTTCATATTTTGTTGGTTCTAAACTCCTATTTCTCATCCTCATTTTGGGTATACTCTGTCTATGGTCACTAATAAGCTATGGGAGTGACCCTGTTGTGGAAGCTCAGGAATCTACCTTTTTTTCTAGGCCTGACTAGTTCAGCGATGATCCCCAAACCCAAGGGGATTGCCCATGATTGTGTTAAAGATGGGGAACATTTTAGTAGATTTAAACAATTCCCAAGAAATCATTGCCTGAGCCTCAAAAGACTTAACATTTGTTTCTATGTGAGAGGAGAAAGAACCACCAAGATGTGTTAGGTGAATTTAAATTATAGAATCTTTGTAGTAGAAGACTTTTAGGCATGTAGTTCCATATTTATGTATGAATTATATGCCTATGCTACTGAACAAAGCATTATA